GGCCAAGTATCACATTATATGGCGATGGACAATCAACGATTCCAAACTCTACTGCATGCGTCACACAATGCGCTTCATCCCCCAAAGTCACGGGGAGGCGCACGCGCCCAATGACTTGAGCAGGCGCTCCTGAGAATCCAACCAACACAGAATTTGAGGGGCGCACCAACTCAGGCGCCAGCTACATTCGTTCGAAAGTGCTCTTGAAAAGGACATCCATTGAACTGCCGGTGTCCACCAACATTCTTTTCACCTTACACCCGGCTATCACCCCTTGTATCTCAAAAGCCTCCTCCGACGGGACTTGGCACGCCTCATCCGGTTCCTGATTGAAGTGGATGTGTACAGATTCTCTTGCTTCTAGCGACACAGCCCTCAGGCGCCTAGTTCTTTCCAACTTCTCCCTCAAGTCAAGGGTACCCGTTATGGACTCGACTGTAAGCCTTACGCGATTAGGTTCTCCTTCTTGATCTACCTCAAACGGAGGCGGCGATATAATAGGCTCCGGCTGCATTTCTGGTTCCTTGGGTGCTTCTCTGACCACGGGCGGCGCCATGGTTTGGGCTCTGGGTTCTTCAGGCTCCTTTCTACTTCCCGGCGCCTGCCTCGTCACATAGGTTCGATGAGTCCTGTCCTCCACTCTTCTTACGAAGTCGTTGAGCATGCCCTTGTCGGCCAGAGTTTGAAGTTCAGCCTTAAGCTGGTAACAATCGGCCGTGTAATGCCCCTTGTCGCGATGGAAGTCACAATATCTGTCAAGATTTTTTTCGTTAGGTTGACCACGCATGGGCCCCGGCCACCGTATATGATAGCCCCTATCCTTCACATATTGTAGCACATTCTTGAGGGTATCGTTGTATTCTGTAAAATTTGCAGAACTCCTGGGCACGGGGCGTGGCGCCTCTGGCCTCCTTGGTGGATCGAAATTTCCAGGGACGGGTCTGGGCGCTTGCCTCACCTCCCCTTCATCACTCCTTAGGCGCCTCTTTTCAGCCCTTCGCGCCGCCAATGTTTCTTCCAACATAATCACCTTTTGTACTCTCCGGTCTAGGTCTTCGGTGGACACCACATCTCGCTTGGAAAGGACCCGGCATAGCTCCTCGCTTGAGGTGCACGCATCCAAGCAAACCCCTAATACCGCTGGTTGAACATCTTTGACCGCCATGGCCACCGAGATCCACCGGTCGTAGAACTCTCTAAGCGCCTCGCCTTCCCTCTGCTTGACTTTGAACAACGCCCCTATGGTCAATGTCCGCCGCTTTCGGCTTGCAAATTTGGACAAAAACAACTCAGCAAATTGCTCGAAACATTCTATGCGCCCCTCCTCGATCTGGTGGTACCAATCCAAGACCACGCCTGAAAACGTGGATGGAAACACCTTGCACAATGTGGCATCGGAGCTGTTGTAGAGTTGCATCTTAGTGAAGTAGCTATTCAGGTGGTCTTCCGGGTCAGCCACCCCATCATAACTTGGTAATGGGGGTATCGTGGTTCCTGCAGGCTCCATCAAGATACATCGGGCCAGAGGCTGCCGAACACCAAACCTTCGAGCAATCCTCCTAGGCGCCCAGACGTCCTCAGGGCCTATTTGTGCGCGCTTGACATTCGGTCTCCCGTCGCGTGGGCGCCCAACATGTCGTGTCCCTGCTCAGAGGTATGCGGCTGTCCGTATTGCAGAGACTCTGAATCTTCCCCCATTCTTTCCCGCTTTCTCACCCCGGGGCTGTACATCATCATGTCTTTACTTCGTTCCCCTTCTAGCTCCCTCCTGAGCGCCGCTATGGCCCGATCTTGGTCGGCTATGATTCGAAACAACTCTCTTTTCGTCAGAGACTCGCCATCATCCGCGGATAGGCGCCCAGGGCTTCCTTGTCCCTCCACGTCCATGCTCAACTCCTGACTCAGTTGACGCTCGCCTTCCTCGTGATCCGAGTTCCCCGATCTGGAATTGCCTTCTCCATCGTTTCCTTCATTCAGGTTTTCCATGCGTTTACTCTTCGAATACCTTCACCCCCTTCCTGGCGCGCCAATTGTTTGAGCCAAGATACCCACGTGCGCTTATCCTCCGCCTCGTCACTTCTCTGTAATACGAGCGCCTGGAACCTGCACCCACAAGCGCCTAAGGGCCTTGGTCGACCCATTAGCACTCCGAAGCTCAAGTCAGTGCACTTTTCTAGAGATATAAGTGCCGAGAAATATTTTAGTGAGAGAAGCCAACCTGCGTAAATGCTACCTACCGAGTACTATTTATACTCGCCGAAGTCCCAACGGTCATCCTGACACTTGAACCCACGTCACCGCCTCATTTAATGCACTGTTCGTACAAGAGTCAGGCGCCTGTACGTGGCCGCCTGAGAACACCCCGATAGGGGGCGCCCAGCAGGGACCACTTCGCCAGGTGGCCTCTTTTCCCAACTCCTCCCTCCGTACCACTTGTCCGTATTCCTCTTTTGTCGTCATGCGCCTGTCCTCCGCTAAGTGCCCTAGTCTATCATTTGGGCCTATTTTCTCCTTCCCCCCTCATGGGCTTGGGCTTTTCTCTACTTCCCCAACACAATTGTATAACAATGATGTCATGCGTTTAAGTCTCTTCATAATAACAATATGTGAAAGCTGCTCCATTACAAGATAAATATAAAATTAAAAACAAAAACACAAGTATAATTTGAGGAAAAGATGAAATCATGTACAAAGTAAATCAACTCTAAGAAACAAAATCTATAGAGCATTTTTCAAATCTCCCAGAGAACAATAACTCGAGGAACTTCTCTTGTATGCTCCAAGTTTTGTAATCACTTCAACTCACTTACCCACAAGCATATCCAATTGGACGTTTATAACTAAATATGCCAATTTCTCTAGCAATAGTTTATCCGGCGAATGTTTGTCAAATGTAGTTTACCATTTGTCAAAACCAATCGAACGTTTTATCCAAGTCGCTTATAAGTCACCGTAGAAAAATCTTACATTTCTATTTATATTTCTTCTTCTAATTTCCGCTTTTAAGGATGGTTTTTTATTGTTAGTTCTCAATTCTTATTAGTCCCTAAACTATTTTGATCCTGAAAACATAGGATTTTGGTCTCTCTTTACTAAGGAGAATATAAATCTTCTACTGATAAATACTAACACATGAAAAATTTCCATAAAACTCGAATATCAAAATACAATATATGTTTTCTTGCTTTATCTTTCTCTATACCATAAAAAAATATGTACAACATGGATAGTTGGATACCATTACGAGGAAAATAATAATAATGGAGATTGAAAAATAATAGTAGAATTGGATCTAGAATACTAAAATTGGAATTATGAAATGTGGATGCTATTTAACAGTATTTACATCAGCCCGCTGACACTAGACTGAATATTTGGTATTAAGTTCCCCACAGGCAATTAGGCATACCCCATCGTAAGCAACCAAATTTGTCTTACAACAATGATTAGGCCTAAGTACTTGAGAACAAACCCACCATTTACAGAATCTCTCTCTTTTAGTTATTTTTTATAATTAAATTTGCCTTTTTCGTCTTTCATTTTTTTCTTCTTGGTTTGGTTGGCTTTGGTGCTTTTTCAATCTTCAGAAAAAGCTCTTCTTTGGATATATCAGAATATGAATTTCCCTTCTTTTTATTCATAGAACATGTCCTTTTGTTATTCTATAAGATTTTTCATGCTTTTGATTACTTTGGTGAGCTCTAATACTGGTACCAAGCTTGTGCAGTATCTGCATTAAACTATAACAAGTACATGATCAAACAACCAAATGGTTTATACGCTATAGCCCTCACCAGTACCAAATGGTTCACACAAATTTTATCCAGATCGAGTGAACGTTTAAGATGATATGAGATTCCGTTAGTTACAATCGCATTAAAGTCACGATTAAGAGCCTTTGTAAGGACGAGTATCATGAAAGCAACAACCAAAATCCCGAGAATAAAGACATCACATTGGGATAGCATCCTACACTAGAATAATCACTTGATTATTGAAGTTTCTCTTCTTTTAAGAATCAGCGCTGCCGCTCACGTGTAAAAAGGATAAGATAATACATTATCTCTCACCTAAACTTTTTTTTTTCACTTCTTGAATTTTTTGCGGTTAACTTGATTATCAAAGTATATTCTCATACTACAACTTCTGAAACTCACTTTGTGTCGACCCGAAACGCTCTAAGGCAGAAATTCCAAACATCCTAGAAAAATGATAAATTAAATATTGACAATGAGGTTGAGGCCAATAATAGCTTTCTGTGTGTGTTTATCTTTGGGCATTTTCATTGCACCAATCACCATCTCCCCTTATTCTTCATCATCTACAGAATCCTCCATTATTTAGGATTTGAATGAGAGCATCCTAGGACATCCTAACCTTAGCTCTCCGATCATTTTAGTGGGGTTTCTTTCTACATTATCATTTTTATAGGGTAATTAGTAATTACTAATTTAATGGGCATTGGAATCATTAATTTGACCTTATTCATCGACGACTTCGTATATATAGAATTATAGATAATGTATTTAGCCAATTGTAAAATTGAAGCTATGTCTTTAGAGTTTAAACCTTCTTCATCATTGTTAGACCTAATAATGCTTTTGCGCGCAGTTTTTAGAGAACCGTTGATAAGAGAGATGTGATTTACTGAGATGATAAGTCGTAATCAAGTTTAACGATTTTTTGCGTGAGTGACAATGTAAAACATAACATTTAATTAAATTTTTACCAAACATTGATTGATCAAATGGGTTTACCACGAAGTATTATTATCTTTTTTTTTTGTCGGAAAATGGGACGCTAAAAGGGCGCCCCTGCCTCAAAATTAAATTAAACAGGTTTGGGCTATGCCCAAAGAGTCATACAAAAGCCTAAACGACAGACCGGGGTTCGTAATATCAAAATCATGAAAGCTAATGCGAGCAGCGTGGCCTTTATTTGCGAGGAAGTCTACAACCTTGTTGCCTTCTCTAAAGATGTGAGAGATCCTGATCTCCCAGTTATGTTGTAGAAGTCTTTTGAATTTTTGAATCAAGTTGTGATATCGATGCTTCGTTTGGTCCCGGGGATGTAAGAATGGTAATCGTTGTCATGGAGTCCAGTTGGAGGTGGACTTTACGGAAGCCAGCCCTCCAAGCTATCTGCAGCCCTCTGATGGCCGCCATAATCTCTGCTCTAGTGATCGTACACCGCCCCAGGTTCACAACGAAAGCTCCCTTGCACTTTCCCGTCCAGTCCCAGATGACCCCACCACCTGCTGCTATCGAACCAGGTTGTTTGACAGATCCGCCAGTGTTGACGCATACCCATCCCTGGGGGGGGGGGGGATCCCATGCAACCTGGTGTGGGGATTTTTCTAGGATAGCAGCGTGGGACGCCTTATCGTCCGCTTGAGCTTGTCGGATAGTGTTCATCCAACATTTGATCCTGTGCACCAACACATGGCCTTCCCGATTAAGGTTATGAAAGACTTTCTCGTTCTGCCGCTTCCAAATGTACCAAATGGCAACTCTGAAGAGAAGGCCTTCTTCTTTCTTCTTGAGGTGTGCATCCAACCAACCTGTAAACCCTAGGCCGCACGTAAGAAGGTTATCAAGAATTCCTAGCCTCCGCCATACCTGTTGAGAATTCGGGCAGTGTCGCAGAATATGCTCCACAGTGTCCGATCCAGTTCTGCAGATTGGGCAAGCATCATCAGTCGTCAACTTTCGCCTCTTACTCTCTGAATTCGACATCAACCTGTCATGAAAAGTCAGTCATAAAAAATGCTTAATGCGGTTTGGGCCCGTCCATTTCCATAGCCTCTTCTAGTACGGCTGGTCAGTTGCTTCTTCCAACTCTCGGACCTCGTCCCAATCCAATCCGTAACCGCCGCATAGGCTGTGCAAAGCTTGAACTTTCCATCCGGCTCCAATCCCCAGGCTGTGATGTCCTCCCCTGATCCAGCAAGCGGTGGATCCGTACCTGCAACCAAAGACACATCGTTTGGAGTTAGGTGCTTGTTGAATTCATGCCACTTCCACTCACCTTCGTTGGTGGCCATATCCGCCACTGTAGCAGTCCAGTTAATCCCGTCCCCATTGATAGTAACATGATCCCTTAGCACCATTCCCTCAGCTATCCATGGGTCCATCCAGAAGTGGACATTACGACCTTCCCTAATATCACAAACAATCCTCTGCTTAAGAATTGGCCATGTGTCCACGATCCCTTTCCAGAGCCTAGAATAATTGCTCTTCTTCATGACCATGGTCCCATCTGTAGTAGCTTGAAAATACTTTCATTGAAGGACACGGACCCAGAGATCATCCGATTGATTCAGGAAAGCCCACCCCAGATTGTCTCCTTCTTCTTTTGGTCTACAGATTGTCTCCCATTTCACCAAGCGTGTCTTAGCGTGCCCTTCTTCCGCACCCCAAACAAAGCCTCTCACTTTTTTGTCGATCTTGTCACACACCGAGATGGGGAGAACCGATGTCTGCATTACATAGTTAGGGAGAACATTCAACACCGATCCCGCCAAGGTAACCCGTCCTGCCAAGGAAAGACTCTTTGCCTTCCAACCTGAGAGCTTCTGATCGATCTTTTCCAAAATGTATTTGTAGGTATTCTTGGTGACTCTGCCATGGATGATCGGGACACCTAGATAGCGACCCAGATTACTCATAGCTTTTATCCCGAGCATATCACTGATCCGTTTCTTCTGCTGCTCCTTGGTGTTTCTGGAGAAGAAGACACAAGACTTGTCCCTGCTGATTTGTTCCACAGAGGCTTCACAAAATCTATTAAGGCATGCTAAGATCTCCTCTCCCTGTTTTGGACTAGCCTCCCCGAATAACACCAAATCGTCTGCAAAAAATAAATGGGTGAGTGGGTGTCCATCCTTGGAAAGAGTAATTGGTTTTCAGGCTTTGCTGTCAACAAAATCCTTAATGCAGTGATTGAGTCTTTCAACACAAAGGGTAAAGAGATAGGGTGAGAGGGGACATCCCTGCCGAAGACCCCTGGTCGGTTGGAAAGACTCTGTGCAACCTCCATTCCAAAGAACTTGGAAACGAGTGGTAGTCACACAAGCCATGACAAGATTAACAAAATCTCGAGGAAGTCTGGCTGCCAACAGCGTAGACTCCAAGAAATTCCAGTTGATCCTGTCATAGGCTTTAGCGAGATCAATTTTCAGGATCATGCGGGCCTCTGGCTCCTGATTGGGGAGACAATGTATGAACCACTTCTTAAAGAATTATGATGTTGTCCGTGATATGTCTCTTTGGGACAAAGCTAGACTAATTTGGATCAACCAGCTGCGGCATGAACTTCTTAAGACGATTAGCCAGGCATTTAGCTACCGCCTTATAGCTCACGTTGCAAAGTCCAATGGGCCTAAATTGAGCTATTTCCTTGGGGGCGCCCACCTTGGGCAGCAACACGAGCAAGGTCTCATTACATCTCATGATGTGTTCTGGGTTCCTGAAACAATCCACAACGTGGTCATGGAAGTCTGCTCCTATGTTACTCCAGCATTTCTGATAGAAAGTGCCGTGGAATCCATCCTTCCTTGGTGCCTTTAAGCCTCCCATCTCTTTGATGATCATGTGTGTCTTCTCAAGAGTTGGTGTGTCTGCTAGGTAGGCTGCCAGGGCCTCATTAAGAGCCTTGAAACCTGCTGGAATATGCTGCTGCTCCATGCCATTATCAGTACAGAGCTTTATATAAAACTCCCGAGCCATAGACTTCAGTGCTTCCGGATCCTCAATCCAACTCCCATCCTCCAATTAAAGTTTAGAGACTCTGTTCTTGCGACGTCTTGTCAGAGCAGCAATGTGGAAGTAGTGAGTGTTCCTATCCCCGTTTACGATCTGGTTCGCCCTAGCTTTTTGGAACCATAGAAACTCTTCTTGCCAAAGGGTTTGTTCCAGTTCCTCCCTGACTTGCCCTTCCCTCCTTAGGGATGCTACTATTGCCGCAGATTCATTCCTGATTTTCAGTCGAGCTAACTGTTTGGTCAACGCTGCTTTCCTCCTGAATATATTACCAAAGACCTCTTTATTCCAGCGAATCAGATGTTCCTGTAAATCCTACAAAGAAAGCAAAAAAATCCCTTCCTCGATGCCACGAGGCTTCAAGTGTAGTAGAGAAATCTTTGTGAGCTAGCCAAGGCACTAGGAAACGAAAGGGTCTAAGTGTCTAACCTGTCGAGGGGGAACATGTTCATTTTGCTGCAGATAAGGATGGGTCTATGATCTGATCGGAGCTTAGGCAGATGAGTAGACAATGTATCAGGAAATTGACGAATCCATTCTTGGTTGCACAAAGCCCTGTCGAGCCATTGGGATAGTCTCCCATTACTCCAAGTAAACCTAGGGCCATTGAACCCTATGTCAAGGAGACCACAGTCCCTTATGCACTCATTGAAACTGGTGGTTCTGCAGGGATTGAACATTGCTCCTCCTTGGCGCTCCAACGGGCAAGTGATAGAGTTGAAATCGCCCGCCAGCAACCAGGGTAAAATGATAGTCTACTCGAGGCAACGAATTGCAGCCCATAAGGGAAGCCTGTCGTGATCATTGGGCTTGGCATAAACAACAGTAAGGATGGCCGAATTGTTGTTCTGCCCTGTGCTTAGGAAATGAAGGAATTGTGAGTCTCGATCTATCTTAACAATCGTGAAATCCGCATCTCTTCACAGAACCCAAATACTGCAGAAAAACCCACAACATCAACAAGAATATGCTTGTCAAACCCCATCGAGCCAATCACATCTTCTGCATCCTTACCGCTGATACGTGGCTCTACTATGAAGACTATATTAGGCATGTGGGTTCCCATATACTCCTTAAAGGTCGAACGAAAATTTGGATGTTTTGCCCCTCAACAATTCCAAGTTTGCAACTAAATATTTTAAACATTAGTAAATAAGAAGAAACAGACTAGAGAAGGACGGGAACTTCCCTGGCAGAATGCCGCATCCATCAGTCGATTAACTCACCTCCTCAGAAGGCAGATTTGCATCTCGATCAGGCGCATCAGGTGCTAGAGCCTCATCTGTAGCGGTGGTTGCACTTTCCGTATTCTCAACCATGCACTCATAGACCTCCCTTTCTTCTGATTTCCCATTACCCATCAAAGGATCAAGATGCAGTTGGGCGAGGAAGTCCTCGACCACTTTCCGTTGGATTAGGCTTTTCCGCTTTTTCTGCACCCTTTTCACCTTGGTTGGCGTTGGATTTAATCCATGATTCGTTTTCAGTATGTGGGGAAAGATCTGCTTGCTACTCGTTAGAGATGAGCTAGTGTTCGGGGAGCGCTTCTTGTAGTGTTTCCGGATTGACACCTTGGCTTTGGTCTCTTCGCCACACTAGTGGAAGAGGGAACCCCATTGAAAATTGGAGGGTTCTCTATGATCATATTTTGCCCGTGGGTCGGGTCGGATGTGCTAGGATCCTTCTCAGTATGGGCCCCCATCTTATCCGTAACCATGGAAACATAGGCTTGGTTGACTTCTTTTTGTTTGGGCCCAACGGAGCGCCACACCTGAGTCGAGCCCATTTGTCTACCATCCTTCCCCATATTCTCATTTTCTGTTGCTCTTTTCCCTTTATTAGGTTGGTGCTTTCCTTTCTTAGGATCCCTTTTTAGAACTTCTTTCCCCTTTTTTCCCTGCGAATCCGCCAAGTTACCTTGTTCATTTTTCTGATTTTGGCTGGATTTTGTCTGTGACTTTCCCAATCCACCACTCTTGCTCGTTGAGATTCCCTGGGATGGCCCTTGATTGGCGGGAACCTTCCTTCGTTGGTGGCGGGATTTTCTCACCACCTGCATCCATGGTCCATACCCTGCCGGCGATTCCTCCGATTGGACTTCCGGCGTGACCAAAACCATCGCCGTTTGTGCTTGTGGTGCGTTCCTAGGAGATTGATGCACAGTGGAACATGTGGATTCAGAGTGACCAATACGGCCGCATTCGAAACAGATCTCCGGAAGGTTCTTGTACATCACCTGTTGCCAGGCACCATCAAGCCGGATACAGGTCTTCAATTGCTTTGTCATATCAAGTTCTACAGCCAATCTTGCGAACTTACCGCGTTCCAGCCATCCAGGTGTTCCGTATGATAATCAAGTTTGATTGTTCGTCCTAGTAAATTACCTAGAGCAAACAGGACTTCCCGGTGATAGAAATGGATCGGAAGCTCTAGTAGCTGCACCCAGGCCACCACAGCTCGATGTGGTTTATCGGAGGTGCGAAAGGAATGCGACCACGGATGGACGATCAAATAGTGATCCAAAATGACCCAAGGTCCGCCGGTTAGGGCGTTGAGGTAGTCTTGTTGTAACATCCCATTTCGGCTAAATCCATATTGCGATCGCTAGAAAGTTCGCGATTTAAAATCGAGCGTTTTGATAGTATTTCTGCAAA